CTCTGCGCCCTCTGCAGCCCGGCTATGGCCGCCAAGCGCCCTGTATGCAGGCAGCGCCCTACCGCCTAGCGCTAGCCTGCGTCCTCTCAGCCTTAGCGCAGCGCAGCATGCATGCAACGCAGCAGCGTGCCGGCCTTGCTCGCAATGGCCAAGATCCTTGCCCAGTCGCCCTGCTTGCCTATATGCCAGTGCAGCGTGTGGGCGGCCTCCCTTCAGCCTGTGACCAGGGCCCAGAGGCTGAACCCAGCCCGATACAGTTGGGCCCCGGGGCAATGCAGTTGCGCCTYCTTCATCAAGGCCTGYGGCCAGATTCAGATAGTGGGCCGATTTCCCTTTGKCATTTTCGGCCTCTATACCCARCATGCATTGTCGGCCTCAYGTTCGAGTGCCYAGGGCCTAACTAACTCAAAGGCCCTGGGCTTTCAGCATTTGCTGAAATCCGRGACTCGGTGCACTCCAACCAACTGGCGTGCTGCAACTGTRTGGACCCCACTTCGTGAAATGTTGGCACAGAGGGCTCTTGTTGATTTGCTGGCCCGCCTTCACTTAGGGCGGGCACCAGGCTTGCTGGGGCCTTAGCCCAGAACATGTACATCACGGCAAGGCCCCTTCTTGAGGGCTCGTTCCTCACAGCTGACTAAACTTAGGCATTAAAGCAAACCGACAAGGATTGATAATTGATCATTTGTCGTTGCCTAAAAAGTTTAAAGTGCTGAAAGAAGAAATGATGAGATTTCACTGCTAGAGAATTGCCAGCAGTGCATGGTATAATAGTAGTGCTCACCTGGTTGGTCCAGATCTTGGACAGACCCCTCTATATGTAAAAGCATTGATTACAACTCTCGTGCTTTCCATTCTGCCGAAACTCCTGCCTCCATCGCGCATTGGGTAAACTTTGGCATAATGTTTCTCTTGATTGCTGAGTCGGTTCAGGCGAGATCTCTCTCCTGAGAGAAGGGGGAGGTGGGAATCTACAGTTGTCGACTTATTTTTAATCGTTCCTTTTGTAGTTATGCCTTGATTAGTGAGAAACCAAAAGGAGACTCTAAGAAGGGTCACTTATCTACTGGCTAAATATCTACTCAATGGGGACTAGCTATACTTGTTAATGCCTGTTGTCTAGCTAGGACCCTGCTCTATCTAACTTACATGTATAATGGGCAGCGAGTAGATAATTGGTAGATATGTACTTTTGCGGATCTGGAAAATGTACGGGTAACGTACTCAACGAGCAGGACTCTAAATGGTACTTGAGTAATCTTTGGGGCGAGATTTCTACTGTGAAGTCAGGTTGTGAAGTCCCATAATATCCCAGGGCATAAGTAAAGAGACTGTTTCCTGGTTGGTCTCTTGCGCTTAATTGAAAGTGGGTAGGCAAATAGGCACCGACAACTTCGTTACTAAAAGAAAAAAAAAGGGGAAAGGGGAAATGAGTCTCCATGTGAAGTCCGGGCTGTGTGACGAAAGAAGACCAAACTGTGGCAACTTTTAAGGAATGTCCAGCTCAGTGACCGTGTTGGAGTTGACACTAGGTGGCTTACTGAGCCCCTTTTAGTCAATTCGCTCCTACACCATTTGAAATTTGGTTCTTACTCAGAACTCTGTTTCCTCGATTCCTTCCTGAGGTGGCTAGCCAACGTTCGCTCTCTCAAATGATCCTACTCAGGTAGCCCGATCAGACACTCCGCTGTGCATGACTAAGGTCGGGTAACACTCTGATAGGACACAAACCCAGTTACTCCTTATGCTATTAAAGGAAGCGGTGCAAAGTATGTACACTGAAAATACTATGCAGATAAGACGAGATAATCGATTGGGCCACTAGCCTGCTGATACACAGACGAAGACGGCTAGTGTAAACCCTCAGAGTTGTTTGTATGGAATGGCAATTACTGTGAACAAGGGCCACGAGATCTGTACTAGCTCGAGCCGTACGTATCAACTTAACACAGACTGCTGCTGAGAAACTGAGTGTGTTACTTGGACGGACCTTGGTATCGGCACTGGCGTCGAGTGTCACTAGGACAAGGACAGCCAGAGTCACGCAGTGTCCCAGTGATTACCTGTAAACTGTTGAAGATGAGGGTAATCCACCGCCTTCTTACGCGTTCGATTGATTCAGTGATACTGCCGTGCGTTGGTCAGAACTTCGGCAGTACGTAAATCGTATCTGGGGGAGGGGCTGAACTGGGGATTCTCTGACCATATCAATAAGTACGGGACCACGTATAACAATGAACTGCGGTTACATTCTGGATCTGGTTGCTACTCCGGTCAGATAAATATAACCAGCTACTGTATGATCAGTTTTGCGTCGGGAAAGAGACTTACCAGTCCGCAGAAGGAGCTAAGCAGAATCGGCACAGTGAGACAGGATAGGCCCTAAGCTCAGGTTGACCGTACTCTGATACTGAGCTGGTCCCTGAGCCGAGTGCTCCTCCTTGGTACTCGAAACTATTGGGACCTGATAACACCATCCCTGTCGTATATTGATGATTGGTCTAGTTACGCACCTTGAGTTGCAAGTGAACGAGGCCCGCTCTTAGTGACACTCTGTGTGGCGTGCAAATTCGAGGTCACTGCTACACTTTTAGTGCTATTCGAAGGGTCTCTATCAAAGGCCTTATATAAATTGCTACCTAAGTAGAGGGTGCAGCCCAAAAATCTCCTTTTCTTTGTTGGGGAAAGCCTGGAGCTTACCGAGCATGTTACCTGTCTTCACAGGACAAACGAAGGTTAAACAACTCGGTTCCCTCAATAGAAACAGTCCATACTAAATAAGTGACCGAGAAGAAGATTCGATTGCCTCGAGGCGTGGACCAAAATTGGAACCTTGCTGAACTGCATCATTCAAGGGCAAGACAAGAGGAGGAGCTCATGGCATTCTTTTGAGACCAATTCCGATCCCACACGGGATATTGTGCGGGAATCGCTACCCAATTCGTGCTGAGACTGGGGTAGTGAGGAGACCAGGGCCGCTTCTACAGTTTGAAACGATCTGATAGGTCAGGAACGTTATCAGAACCCTGCGGTCATCGTCACTCACTTGAGTACAGATCAGCCACTCCCAGAGCAACCGGTCTCAACAGAGAAATGGGGAATGAGGACACAGTAAGAGTGACCTGCTCACTGCACCGAGACAGAAACGAAGGCTGGGAAGAAAGGGTGACACAGGACCTCCGTTATCAAACAAGACTCATGATGGAACACGCTCTGACGCTAGTGAAGGATCAGACACTTATTGAGTACACCTGTTACCTACATGGGTCAAACGGAAAACTGCACAACACCCTTTCATCTGTCGGGTCCATTGAGGAAGCAAGGAAAGTCATTGCTGGTGAACAGTGAAGTAAACCTGTTATAACCCGAACACAGGCAACAGTTAACACAGTTACATCATTGGGTACAGTCAAGTAAATCAACGAGATCACCCGAAAACCGGCAGTGAAACTATTATACTTATGAATACGATCCAATTAGTATCGGTCAACAAGTACTCCTTCTTAGCTCACAGTTCTCTCAATGTTCCGGCGTCAAGAGATCAGTATTCGGTAAACCGATACCCCAGCATTTAATCAGCAACAACTTTCAAACGTCATTCGAGCAGCATTCAACCATCCGTCAATCAACATTAAATTATTCTTACTTGCGTCAGAAATCAATGTCAGCTAGCAGTCAATCATTACTAAAAGACACAGTGATCAGTTTCAACATTTGATTCAACACATGAGTTCAGTCGAGTTTTTCCCGGTCGAGGAGTCAGTTCTAGCCGGACTCAATCGGATCTCTTCCAAGGATGCTTTCCGATATCAATACATCAGCGTTGTTGGTTTCAGGCGGGAGGACCTGTCAATCTTCGTTGCACTCACTAGTTTCGCAGGGGGCTCTATCCATGACCTGAGGATCTATCTGAAGAAGGGTAAAGAGACGCATGAATGCTTTGATTTGGTCTGGGTCGCTGCTGCTGGGTATCTTGAGAAAAGGGAAAAAGATCTCGATGAAAATGGGACTAAGCTGATCCGCAGCTTCGGGCCTAAGCTCTATACCGATTACCCCAAGCCACCAGTACCTTTCACTTTCACCGACGGTTCTGACTGGGGTGAACTGGTTGATTTGGCCAAGAGGTACATTTCACCTGCAGCGATCGATTACGAGTCAGTGACCGAGCCTTCCGAGTTCCCACATCTCAGACGAGGGGTCTTCTCACGACCGTATCTTCCTACTGTATGGAAGGAATTTTGTGCTATGGTTGACTTCCGCATCATGGGACTTGGATGGAGATGCTTAGAGCTAGCAAGCTTCAGGTGGCTCTATATTCAGAGGCCACACACTCAGAGAGTACGGGGACATGGCTCAAGGCACAAAAAACGCAACGAAATGAGAGATTGAGTGTGAGATCCAGAGGCATGAGTGAAGATTCTCGACTAGCGCTGGCCATGCTCTCTACATGTGTACTTTCTGAGACTATTACGAGTCCTCATTCTTCCCTCACCTAACTTTGTCACTGCTCGAGTCAGTCAATCTTGCTTCGTGCATTGTAATTGCTGATGATTGCATTCTTTGATAATTCCGTCACAGTTCTCAAAAATAGAAAAATTGGCAAATTGATGCATGACATATCAACATTTTGTGATTAATATTTGCATGATTCTTTGCTGTTCCAGATCAAAATAAAAGATTCCTAAGACCGGGGACCGACGAAGATCGTAATTGAAGGGTCTCGCTCGAAGCCGGACGCACACAACAGGAAGGGATTTGCTTTAATTAATTTATTTTATTTATTGCAACATCATACAAAATCATGCGTGACAGCCTGTTGGCTTTCCGGTCGCCTAGAGAGGCCCGACTGGGAAAAAGTGCGACAACGTGCGATCGTGAAGAAGGAAGGGCGTTGCTGAGGGCAGCGCCATAGCCCAGCCTCCATAGCTGGCTGAGGCTTGGTGTTACAGCAAGGCATAGTGGTGGTCTATAGGTGTCAAGAGGGAAAACGTGGGTGAAAGACGAGGGAGAGAGAGAAAGAGAGAGATATAGAGACGAGGAGGATGACATAACCTGGTATTGGCGATGGTCTGCATTGGGTGACATCTTCATGTACTTCGGTGGCTGCTGACGTCAACGTTGCATTGTCAATTCGTAGGCAAATAGTAGCTGTGTGGGGAGTTGTCTGGGCGCCGAGTGCCAAGTAGGGGGAAGGGCCTGGACAGTAATGTTGGTGATGGGGAGAGTAAGCTCTAATTGACATTGGGTTTCAGTGTTTCGATTCTCCATTGGTGTAATATTGGTGCAATGCTGCTTTCTAGACATTGTGAGACTTTCTGGCTTTCAATGTGATTGTGCATTCAAGATTCTGTCATCTCGCTATTGCTCCTTTTCCTTGCACACTGGCTTCCCCTCCATTACAGTTAACGATACAAAGAAGATTAGCATGGCCGCTGCACGTGGATGACATGGATAAATCGAGAAATAGACTCAAATAGTACAAAAAAAAAAGAAAAACACTGGCAGTTTAAAAGGTGGTTTTCTCTCCAGTCCTCTAAATGCTCTTTTCTTTCGCCTTAGTGGACGAGGCAGAATGGTGATGCAGGAGCATCTGTGCAATCAGACTCGTTCTCAAACACACTTTTCATGCATGTAAACAGCAACGCAGCATACTGGCGACATGCGCCCACTCAAAACTCAGAGATATGGCTTTCAGATACGAGTTCACTCTCAATTGGCTATGGGGACTTCAGCGCCCAAACATCTCACTGTTCACATACACTGGATCACCCTG